AATCTGAAAAATCTACCAGCATACATCTGTGCTTTAAAATTATAACAGGCTATATCCTTCAAAGACAAAACACACATCCATGAATTCTGAAAAAGATGCAATTCAGATTTTACTAACGTAAATAGTTTTTATGAGGGAAAAACAAAGTAGGAAAGTGACAAACGTTAACCTCATTATTCAAACAGAAAGCAAGGTTAGATAGATTCTGGACATTATGTACCAATAATCTACCATCAATTCCCAATAAAACTCTAGACTAATAATTGAATAGGCAATAAATGCACTGAGAAAAGAAAGTGATAATTATTCATGAGTTCTCTAAGAACACAGTAGGCCATACTTTGTTTACTTTCTCTTCTGATAACATTGCATTTGGAAAATGACAAATAGTCTACCTCTAACTCAGCAGCACTTAGCAGTCTCTCATGAAAGAAATCAGTATAGAAAAATGTATAGAGAAATGGACAGAAAGGTGAGTTTTAGTCTGAGTTCTAGTATCTACTAGCTATGTGAGTAAAAAGCAAGTTATTTAACTTCAATGAACCTCTCAGTTCCCTTAACAGAGATAGCATCTACACTATCTCCTTCCCAGAGTTAAGAATTGAAAGCATCAGGCCAAGTGCAGTGGCTCAAGCCTGGGATCTCAGCTCTTTGGGAGGCCCAAGGCAGGCTGATCCCTTCAGCCCAGGAGTTTGAGACCAGCCTGAGCAACATGGCAAAACCTCATCTTTACAAAAACCAGAAAAATTAGCCAGGCGTGGTGGTGCATGCTTATAGTCCCAGCTACTCAAGAGGCTAAGCCCGGGAGGTTGAGGCTACAGTAAGCTGTGATCATGCCACTGCACTTCAGCCTAGGAGACGGTGAGACTCTGTCTCCAAAAGAAGAAAAAAAGGACTGAAAATGCCAATACATTCAAGGAAGTGTTCTTAAGTTTCCTTGGGCCTTGCACCCCTTTGAGAATGTGATGAAAGTGACCTCTCCCTTGCCCACCCCCTGAAAATGCACATTCACACAATATTAAGGTAGAATTTCAGAGGGCCTGAAGACCCCGGAAGCCAGAGCCTACCACAGAGCTGGAATGCAGTAAGATACTCAGTAACTGCTGAATGAACTAGAGGAAAACAAGAACTGGAAAAACTGGTATATTCACCGTTAATTAAATAACTGTATAAAGAGTACTGACTGACCAACATGACCAGCAATATAAACTGTGTGATTTTTTTCTAAATGAGAATTTGGCATCATGTATCAAAAACTGCCTTAAACATGTTTATGCCCTTTGATTCAGTAATTCAACTTGTAAGAATTTATCCTAATAACAGATTCAGAGATGCACTGGAAATACTTAAGCACAAGGACAGCCAAAAGCATTGCTACTTCTGTTTCTTGTTTTTTTTTTTTTGAGACAGAGTCTTGCTCTGTCGCCAGGCTGGAGTGCACTGGCGCAATCTCAGCTCACTGCAATCTCTACCTCCTGGGTTCAAGCAATTCTCCTGCCTCAGCCTCCCAAGCAGCTGGGACTACAGGCATGCACCACCATGCCCAGTTAGTTTTTGTATTTTTCAATAGAGACGGTTTTTCACCATGTTGGTCAGGATGGTCTTGGATCTCTTGACCTCGTGATCCGCCCACCTCAGCCTCCCAAAGTGCTGGGATTATAGGTGTGAGCCACTGCGCCCAGCCAAGCATTGTTATTTCTAATAGCAGAAAAAGAAAACCCTTTAAAGAAGGATGGAAGGATCAAAATATACAACTAGAAAATGGGGGGGGCGGGGGAGGAATCACAGTATCCAAGTTATACAGTACGATGTAGTCACATTTTTAAAAGAATAATTAACAATATGGGGACAAGCTCATAAAATGTCAAGAGAAAAAAAGTAGAATAAAAAACTAATTATATATAATTTACTAAATGAGTTAGAATGTGTTTAAAACAGTGTCTGGCATATAATAAGCACTATATAAGGATGTGTTAAATAAACTTTAAAAAATCATATATATAATGAACTCAATTTTCACGTTTTAAAACAATGTGGATAAACAGAAAGAAAGACAGAAGGACTAAAGGAAATACAACAAAATGTTAATGGTAATCCAGATTTATATTTTCCTATAGTTCCTAAACTGTGTATTTGAACTTGTATCACTGTTAAAATCAGAAAAATATATATGCATATACGTTCCTTTAAAAAACAAAAACAGAGATGTCAATCTGAAGGAGAACAATGTTATCAATGGTTTGAATAAAAACTTGGAAAAAGCCCATATTTATCAAATCTGCAGTTAGTACAAGTTACAATAAATCAGTAATAAGAATTGACAAATTTCAGATTCAAATTATTTGCTCTGGCTAAAACACTTTGGCTGAAACCAACAGGACAAAATATTGTACCAAGTTCTCAGACTTCCACTTAAACAAGGGGGATTTAACCACAAGTATGTTTCCTCTCTCTCTTAAAACGTATTAAAATGTCAGTGAAGGGATAAAAAGGATGTTAAGTCCACAAAGACAAAAAGAAGAGCAGACAGTGGGGAAAAGATTTTTTTTTTTTTTTTTTTTTTTTAAGACGGGGTTTCACCATGTTGGTCAGACTGGTCTTGAACTCCCAACCTCAGGTGATCCGCCCACCTTAGCCTCCAAAGTGCTTGGATAACAGGCATGAGCCACCGCGTCCAGCCTTTTTTTTTGTTTGTTTTTTTGAGACAAGAGTTTCGCTCTTGTCACCCAGGCTGGAGTGCAATGGTGCAATATTGGCTCACTGCGACCTCCACCTCCTGGATTCAAGCAATTCTCCTGCCTCAGCCTCCCGAGTATGTGGGATTACAGGCACCCACCACCATGCCTAGCTAATTTTTGTACTTTTTGGTAGAGACAGGGTTTCACCATGTTGGCCAGGCTGGTCTCGAACTCCTGACCTTAGGTGATCCACCCACCTCAGCCTCCCAAAGTGCTGGGATTACAGGTGTGAGCCACCACACCTGGCTGAGAAAAAGATTTAAACAAATTTTTAGAAAATGGAAAACAGCTGTAAGATGACAAACTACTAATAAACCAGGAGAAAACCTAACAGGAGAGTGATGCCTGCAGGGAGGGAATTGGTGTCATAGAACCCAAGAGACCCTCAGGATTTGGAAGTTCTAAAGATCCCAAAAGCTAGGGGGACAGATACAGGACTGAACACAATGGGAATTGTATTAAAATACTGAGTATGTACGTGGAGGGGCTGTATGGCCAGGTGCCCTCCTCTACCCTTCATACAGCTAGACACACACTGTACCCTCACTTTAACCCTGTAGTAGACCAGGCGGCACCTTCCTCTAGAGAACTTAAACCAGAGAGGCTCCAGAATCAGGGACAGCAGGAATAGCAGAAGCTAGGAACTGAAAACAGCATGGGGGGATTACCTGATGTAAACATCTTCAGGATGAATGAGTAAACCTGCCATTCCCCCAGTCCTTTTTCCTCACCCTTTAGCAATCCAGGCCTAAATCCCCCAAGCAGATATCTGGAGGTAAATACTGCATAGTGAAGACAAGAACAGCCAAGATTGAGAATCACTAAACTAAAAATACATAAGCCTCTAACAGCCCTTAACAAATCTCCATATCTGCAGTACTCTCAACTTACCAATTAATTCTAAAGAAAAAATACTTGTAAAATAATTTTAGCCCTCTGTTAAGTTGGGAAATTTAAGGAAGAAAATTCAGGGAAGATCAATAAAATAAACAGAAGGAAGGAGTCCTGTAGAAGTCACTGATATTTCCACAATTAATAACCTTCATTATACTGTAGGAATTCTCAAAGCGGGGAAGGGGCAGGATGGGTGAATGGTGATCTCTTCTAGTTAAGAATTACTATTCCAGCCGGGCGCTGTGGCTCAAGCCTGTAATCCCAGCACTTTGGGAGGCCGAGGCGGGTGGATCACAAGGTCAAGAGATCGAGACCATCCTGGTCAACATGGTGAAACCCCGTCTCTACTAAAAATACAAAACATTAGCTGGGCATGGTGGCACGTGCCTGTAATCCCAGCTACTCAGGAGGTTGAGGCAGGAGAATTGCCTGAACCCAGGAGGTGGAGGTTGCGGTGAGCCGAGATCACGCCATTGCACTCCAGCCTGGGTAACAAGAGTGAAACTCCATCTCAAAAAAAAAAAAAAAAAAAAAGAATTACTATTCCAGATCATCTAATGTTCATAATGAACCAATTATCATAACAAGTAGGCACAAACCGTCCAGGTACTAGACAATTTCTTAAAAGCATACTATGTCTTAATAGCTAAGAGTTCAATGGTAAACAAGAGTGCTACTATAATAGGCTAGTGCAGCAGCTTGGGGATAAATCAGTCTATAATTAATAAACTAACATTTCATAATCGCAAATACAAAATCAAGTTGTATACGAACCCACACTATGTGCTATTAGTGTTCTTAATTACCATTTTTTAAATATAAACTATATACCAGGAACTTTGATAAATGCTCTATATGCATTCTCATTTAAACCTGACACTTCTATCAAATACATATTATTTCCTACACTTCACACATAAGCAATACGAGATCAAAGAAGTTGAATAATGTGCCCATGACCACAGAGGTAAGCAGGCACAGACCTGTATGCATCAAGTCTCTCTGACTCTAAAGCACATGTTCTTTCCACACTATCATGGCAAGGTTCCAAGAGGTACCTTCTAAAACTGGGGGGTGATGAAATCAAACCAGGTTCAAAGATGCCCAATCTAAGTGTGCCCTTCTATATTTAATGTATTTTCTTAAAATTGTTTCAATTTAGCATTTTTGTCTAGTGCTAGAATATAAGATTATTAAGAAGAAAAAAGTTGTGTATAAAATCTTAAGTGAGAAGCATCCTTTATTAGAGTTAGACTATCATTAGTTCCTTAAAATAGTCTCTTTAGTAATCTTCATTTTACAAAACGATACCAATCCATGGAGCCTGACACAATCTACTAGGTTAAAAAAAGATGTGGAGTTGCTGTAAAGGTTCCTCCCAGCGCCACATGGCCATCGCCACACGGCCATCACCATGGTGAAGCTGAGCAAAGAGGCCAAGCAGAGAGTGCAGCAGCTCTTCAAGGGGGGCCAGTTTGCTATGCACTGGGGCTTTATACCTCTTGTGATTTACCTGGGATTTAAGAGAGGTACAGATCCTGGAATGCCTGAACCAACTGTTCTGAGCCTACTTTGGGGATAAAGGATTATTTGGTCTTCTGGATTTGGAAGCAATTAGCAGACAGCATGGAAGATGTATGCTCTGGCTCGGATAAGAGATGGGACATCGTTCGGTCGCCAGCTGGATGGCACAAGGCTTGTCACAGATGAATCTCTAGCAGAATGGAACTTGTACTAACTTATGATAGAATGTATCAGAATAAATGTTTTTAACAATGTTAAAAAAAAAAAAGGGTGTGTGTATGCATATGTAAACATGTACGTATGTGTACATATAGCTTTTTCTGGTTTCACACTTCTAAAATTTTGTTTTATTTGAATACGCCTTCAGAAGAATCTTTAAAAGTCAAATATTTAAGAGATGAAAGATTAACAATATATGGTAAATAGAAAAAAAAAAATATATTTATATACTTTTGTCAATAAAGCCTAAATAGAATTAAAATGGAAAAAAAAAAAAAAACAATATATGGTAAATATTTCTATAGCTCACAAGAGACATAATGTTCCAGTTTCTATTACATTATTAGTATGCTATGATACACCATAAGTAAATCACTTTGTCTCTGGGCTTCTGGGAGAGAGAATTGGATGACACAATCTCTAAGGTGCATTCTATTTTTTAAATGTTTGGTTATTGTAAGTGACAACCTAGAATACTTTTCAAAGCATGATCAACTTTATCTTTGAACATAGCAAGTAAAGGGTTATAGTAGAGGGAGAAGATAAATCTAATCAGCATTTACTATTTCATCTAGACCACTTAATTTAGCAGTTTCTTTAGCAGCATATCTATGTTGGGCATGGAAACTTGGTAAAACCCCTAGGAATCACCAACTCTCACGGAATAACACTTGGCTATCTCTTTTTTTAATCTAAAAGTGCTTAGCTTAGTCTGAAAAGAAAATAAATCCCACTTCTCTACCCATGAAAACCATCTTCCTCTACTTAAATAATCTCTCCATCTCAGCCTCTAGGAACTAATAAAAGGGAGTTTAAGATTGCTGAATAAGTACTCTTCTTTAGTAAATATGGGTGAGGATCTCAAAAACTAATGAAATCTGTACACAATAACAAAGTATGACTCAGGAGTTCTGCCTATTCTCTCTTGTTGGTTCCTCTTTAATAAATTAGAAATGTACACCAAATACAGAAAAAGACGAAGTAGATATTTACATATAGCACAAAGTCTCAAAGATCACATTCTGTAGTTTCAGTTTTCTCCTTATTTGTGACTAAATACTTAAATTACCTAACTAAATTAAAACACAAGCCTCAAAGGTATGTTTACAGTGATTCATAAAATTACAGGCCACGCCACTGTGGTTTACATTTACAACCTAATTTTATAATTAAGCCCCGAAGACTATAAATGGGGAAATGGGGGAGGAAGAAGAATGTAAATATATACCATATACCTATCTTCAACAATAACTTATTAAAAACAAGAATAAAATTTAACAATAAAAATTAAAGTAACATTATCTTTAAAATCTCATTGACATTCTTCTCCAAAGTGCTACAATAATAACATCTTTAGTACTAAAAATACCAGAAGTCAGTTACTATTCATCTTACATATGAAGATAATGAAATTAAAACTGCAGTAAAGAATTTTATGAATACAGTACCAAAAAAAAAAAAAGAGTGGGATTAAAATCCAAAGCTCCTGTTTACAGGATCCGTGATGTATTCAAAAACCATGACATCTAATCAAAGATCCTGCAAAAATTCAATTACTCAAGCTTCTGCTCACCATGCTAAAAATGCCTATCCAGGAAATACACTCTCTGATAAACTTCACAGAGAAAAATGAAAAGTATAAACACACTCAAAGGACCTGATAAATAGATACCTACATAATAACTAGATAAGGAGAAGTTTAACCCCCAAATTTAACAAGTCGTTTACATGTACTTAAAATTTAAACATCCTATAGGTATTAACAGGATAAATTAATACAACACTGATAAATACATGGTAAGCCTATGGTACAAGTTTGAATTTGAAGCTTTACACAAGAATTTTAAGTATCCACACATCCCATTACAGCCTCAGACTTCCATAAATTACTTTGTTAAATATCTATGAAGGTCTTCCCAGGCCACAAGTGTCTAATAAACAGGGGGTTTACTAGATAACACTTTTCAGACGGAAATATGTTAAGGAAATACAATTTTATTAACAATCATCTATTTTATTATCTTATAAATATTCAAAGAAAATCTTTGTTAATTACTAATATACTTTCCTAAATGTAATACACTTCATTTACAAATTAAAACACATTTTAGAGTCTAAAGCAATGGTTCTCAACTGATGGCAATTAGCAATGTCTGGTGACTTTTTTGGTTTTCACAAACGGAAGGTGCTACTGGCATCTGGGAAGTACAGGCCAGGGACTCTGCTAAATATCCTATAATGTACATGACAGCCCACACAACAAAGAATTATCCAACCCCAGTGTCAATAGTGCCAAAATTAAGAAACCCTTGTCTACAATCTGAATTCCACTGTAAGGACTACTAAGGTTTACTTACCTTTAAATTTAATATCCAGACCACTAAATTCCAACTCAACCCCTTGAAGTGCTTCTCCCAGAGTTTCATGGTAATGACTGATACTTTTTTTTGACCCCACACAGAATGGAAGTGAAAAGTATTTATATGTTTCTTGACGATTATGGTAGGGCCCAACAGTATTCATCCATAAGACAACTTCCTCTTTATCTTGATACTGAAACAAAAAAAAGCAAACAATAATTAAAAAAAAAAAAAAACTAATTCAAATTAAGGGGATATTTGTTATGTGTCCTAAACAAAAGTGCATTGTCTCTGTTCAGGAAGCTATAAAATAAAATACTGGAAGCTTAATCTGATGATGAATGTCTACATCTTAAAAATGAAACTTAGTGAATTTTAGAATTATATCCTGATTGTAGTCTCAGACAGATACACCTTTTCCAAACTTTGTTTTATAGAGGTAGTGTTTAAACTATGTCTAATAGTTCATAAGAGTATGTCTATTATTTACATTTATACTATCAAATAACAGCAAATTTGCAACCATCATGACTTACCATGCTAACATGGACAAGGAAAGAGAAAACAAAATCAGTAGTTTATCCAGAATCTCATGTTAATCAATAAGAAAAAAAAAAAAAAGAAAGAAACCTAATGTTGCCACCAAGCATGAATAAAATTTCATCTTCTTGTGAGACTTTCACACAGCCACTGGTCAAAATACAACAGAGGAGAGAAATGACCAAATACAAGGAAGAAGACTACCATGGAACCTTCAAAAGTCCATTCAAGCCAACATTCTATCTTGTTAGCAGCCTGAAAGATATGCATAATATGCATATTTCTTTGAAAAAGTAATTATGGCACTATATGTCAGTGACTATCATACATAGCTAAATCTGAAGTGTGGTCCAATTATGACTTTGGGTAGTTTCAAGGTCCAAGTGGGAGGTCTGTCAAAGATTTCTAAGATCTCTACAAGTTTAAAGTTCCAATGATTCTACGGAAACCAGTTACTATGGTAATTTCAAAACTAGTGATTCTAATTATCAACATAAAGACAACACTGGATGCATTTAAATCATGATGCAGATGTTAATTCACTCAACAATTACTTACTAAGTGTCTTAGCATGTGAAACAATTGTGTTTATAACTGAAGATACAGCTTTGAACAAGATGTGTTCCCTGCCCTACTGGGAGAAAGATGGGCACTGAACAAGCAGTAATAATAAGGTAGGTTGCTATGGAGCATATAATGGAAGAAGCTATTCAACTAGCCCACTATGAAATCCTTATTTCCAGTCCTCCAACTAAAACTAGTAAATAAATAAACATTTTCAATCAAAACCTAACATCTCCAAAACCAAACTCATCTACCCAAATTCACTTCCCCCAGCTACTACTTTTTTTTTTTTTTTTTTTTTTTTTTGAGTCGGAGTTTCGCTCTTGTTACCCAGGCTGGAGTGCAATGGCGCGATCTTGGCTCACCGCAACCTCCGCCTCCTGGGTTCAGGCAATTCTCCTGCCTCAACCTCCTGAGTAGCTGGGATTACAGGCACACGCCACCATGCCCAGCTAATTTTTTTGTAGTTTTAGTAGAGACGGGGTTTCACCGCATTGACCAGGATGGTCTCGATCTCTTGACCTCGTGGTCCACCCGCCTCGGCCTCCCAAAGTGCTGGGATTACAGGCGTGAGCCACCGCGCCCAGCCAGCTATGTTTTTCTAATAGTACTACCATTCTCTCAGACATGGAGGAGACTCAAACCCCAAAACCCTCTACACTCTATGGAACCCAAAAACATTAACTCATACATTCTTACCCAAAATATCTGCCTTTTTCTTTTGATTCACACAACTACTGCCCTAAGACTTAGACCTAGTCATCTCATGTTCAAATATAAATGCCTGATTGTTCAAATACAGCTAGGTCATTAAGGAAATAACAAATGATCTCACCTTTTGAATACCTATGTGACAGGTACCAAAGCATCGAGTTAGGTATGAAGAATATAAAGGTAAGTAAACTAGTGTCCGTTTCCTTAAGTTCATAATCCACAGTGGAATCAGACAAGTAAATGATTAACAAGGAAAAAAATAAGTATTATAATTAAGGTAATAAAGGGCTATTGTGGCAACAATAAAGGAATGATTAAATTCACTTTGTCAGAGAAGGTCAGGACGAATAACAATTTGGAAAATCACAAGTTGTTTCAAGGGAGTTCAGAAAAACAACTGCAGATAATCTTCATGTAGGAAGTAGTGAATCAAAGGTGTAAATATTAATGTATCTGTATATCCTCAATCATTACTATTCTTTTTATTTGGAAAGATTGACAAATATATGTATGTCCCCACTCTTTCATCCAATGCTCATGGTCACACAGCACTAATCAACCAAGGTATTCCTTTCTGCTGAACATAGATATTGCCTCAGAGTTCTCAAAACAGTGCTCTAAACCAACCACTACCAACTAACCAGAGTTGGTATTAGAATTAAAACTTGTTCATGGCTGGGTGAGGTGACTCACGCCTGTAATCCCAGCACCCTGGGATGCCGAGGCGAGTGGATCACTTAAGGTCAGGAGTTTGAGACCAGCCTGGCCAACATGGTAAAACCCCATCTCTACTAAAAATACAAAAATTAGCTGGGTGTAGCACATGCCTGGAATCCCAGCTATCTGGGTGGCTGACGCAGGAGAATCACTTGAACCCGAGAGCTGGAGGCTGGAGGGAGCTGAGATAGCACCACTGCACTCCAATCTGGGTGACAGAGCAAGACTCTGTCTCAAAAAAAAAAAAAAAAAAACCTATTCACCAATGCAAATACATATTTAATAAATTTGATGAGAAAATACTGAAGAAATATTGAAATATAAAGTTCACTGGCAATTTAGTAAAAGAAGTTTCAAGTATGTGAACTGAGTGGTATGTACGTACACTGACTGCAAGAGTACCTTTTCAGAAAAATAAGACAGGGGAGGTAACAATTCTTCCATTTAAGAGCAGAATGTTGAATGAGATGACCTATTAAAGGGCACCTTGCCATTAATTCTGCTGAGTCTGCAGAAATGTTATAAATGTAACTTGCGAAAATAAACACAAAATACTTTTTCTAAAAATTCCAATACTTTTCCTTTAAAAATAGACAAAATTTTTAAAAATAAATACCTTTAAAAATAGGGCATCCATTTATTTTATACAAATTGAAACATAAACAATTTAGGATTAAAATAATTTAAGGGTCCTGGTAGATGTTAAACCACATATTCTGAAGTCACTCATTTTAAACATTTAGGAACTCTTAACAGAGTGGTAGAGTTGTGATGTGATGCCAGTACTGAAACAAAATTTATACCATTTTGTAGTCTTAAGGTTCTTTCCAGAAAAAGGACTGAAATAGTAATTAGAAATACACATATTGAGAGTTTAGGATGAATAGTATAGCAAAAATAATGCTCTTTTTCTTTTATGTTGCTCCATATTATGCAGACTGTGGTTTAATACAACGAACTTAAAATGTTTACTTTTCATTGCAGCCCTTTATTGTCCCTGAGAATACGCACTTTCAAGACAAAGAGTTCTTTCTCAAGGGAAGATGTTTTAAAATATTTTGAAATTAGGAAATACCAAAAGACTTCACACAACTTCTGAAGGAGAAAACAAATTTTACCTTTCCTTTCCCTAAAGCTCTGACAAAGACCCTGAGCTCCACAGTCTGTGAGAAGGGAGTGCCAGGCCCAGAAGAAGGTGGGGTGGAGTCACAGAAGCACAGCAGTCAATCAGGGGATCCCTAAGCATGATAATTCCTTCCATCTGAGGCTTCCCTGGGAAATGGCCAAGTGAGAGGAGGCCAATTCAGGATACCTGCATTCTTCACCTACTTATTTTCCAGCTCTCAGAAGAATCTCACTGCTACACTTAAGTCGTCCACTCTGGCCAAAACGGTTTATGATACTGTCTTCCTCCCCTTTTCTGCTTCATCTTCTTTCTTTTGTCATTCCCCCAAATTTGGAATGCTCTCCTTTTCTCCACTTGGCCAAATTCTACTCATCCTTCCAAACTGCTCAAATCCTCCTTTTTCAAATACTCAGGTAAAGCCTTAACTGATCAAACCCTAACATGACATGATCTCACCATTTTTGTAATAATAACATCACTAGCTCACAATAGGTACATATTATGAGCTAGGTATAGTTTTAAGGTCTTTACATGAACATTTAAATAATCACCTCAAAACTCTATAAAATAGGTCCCATTATTTCCCCCATTTCAGAGACAAGAAAAAAAAAACTAAAAAGTAAATAACAGAGATGTTAAATAATTTGTCCAACAACATATAACTAATCAGCATCAAGTTTAAAAGGCTAGGACTGTATTTTTGCTAATCCCTAGTCAGCTTCATTCATTAAAGAGCAAAAAATTAAATCAAGGAAATATGAAAACAGTGCAGGTGTACAAAGCAACTAAACACGGTCCTGAAAACTGAGTAACTTTTCCACATGAGCCTTTAATCCGCCTGAAATAAAATAACCTAAGAAGCTATTCACACTCTACTCTCAAAAGGAATAACCTTTATTCTCAAGAAGTCACTAATGTTAGCCCTTCTTATTTAAATACTGTTTATGTGTTGGGGGTCTCAAAGTTTTCCTTCTTGACAGAGGTCATGAGTTAATTTTTCTCAAGAGAGAAACTTTAGAAGATAATATTGCTGACACAGTCATGTGAAATATGAATAAAAAATCACAATTTACATAGACAGGCAAAGGACTGAGGATTCAGAACAAGCACCCAAATGCCACCCTTCATTTTCATACAAAGGGGAAAAATGTATGTGTTTACTTCAAAATAAATGTTCTGTAAATCATAATTTCAAAGCCTTTTAACTATTCATTAAAACACACATCAGAATTCTAATACAAATAAATTAGAAGTGTATTTTTGAATAGTCTCTTGAGATAACTATTCTCTCTCAAAAATAGCTTTGTACCTAAATAAATTTTCAGTCTATCATTGAGTAGAGCTGAAAATAGGACAACGAATTATGGCATTTAACAATCTACATTAGAGAACTCACAAATTCACTTGTAGTAACAGCTTATACTCTTTATAAATCTTCAATAAGTTTTAAGAGTTCCTATATTCCCAACAGAGACAAAGACAGAAGGTTGCCATTTGCCAAAGTAAATCAAACAAAACATTTCTGAAATCACTCAGCGATATAACACAAAGTATTTATGAGGCAGAGGCTGAGAAAACGATTCCAGGCATTGGGTCTGTCCAACATCAGAAGTCCCAAGATTACCAGAAAGTATACTGGACCACAGAGAAATAGGGAATTCTAGCCTAGGTAGGATCCCCAAATCAAAACAGGCATCCCAAGACTATGCATCTTAAATGAATAATGGTCTGAGTTTGTTTGTTGTGCTTCCACATGGCATATTCTTGTCACTAGTAGCTCCCTAATTATTCAAGTCATTCAACAAGCACTGATCAAATATCATTTGTGCGTAACAGACCAAAAAAAAAAACTGATTCTGTGATCCCACAAAAATTCAAGGCTGCAGTGCAAACCATAAAATGTTCTAAGATTCCTGTGCCCCTAAGTACTGGGTTTTTGGTGCTAACATCTTTACATATTATTACTATGGAAGTATATGTACAAGACAGGTAGAAAGACAAGACTAGGGATCAGGAAGCTCTGATTCTTTCTGTGGCCTTGAGCAAGTCTCTGGACCTGTACAGGCCATTATGAAAATGAAGTGTTCTGGATTAAATTATCAAGTCTTTCTAGTTCTAAAATTCTATGATTCTCAATCTGAAATTGTTTTTAATGGAGTCCTGTGGAATCTTAGGAGACATAGTAATCTAACTCTAGATGCTTCCAAGTGCTTTGATTTTCAGAAAACCAAAGGAGCATAAACACACCTTTCACTCACTCTAAAGAAGCCTATGTCCCTTCAGTCACTTATTAAAAGCCTGTCTTCCATAAAAGTGTTAATTTTCATTTCAAACAACATGTCTGTAATGCATATATGATTCAACTTTTAAAAATTAAAAGGGGCACATTGTTACATATTCTAGATATGTACATACAGACCCTATTAAGTCAATAACACAATTCCTTTTCAACACCCTTCAGAGAACATTAAAAGAACTTTAGATAAATAAGAACATAAAAAAAATATGAATCAGATGGCCACCTAAATCCTAATTCAGTAGGTACAGTAAGAGAAATCAGGGGATTTGAAGAACGAGCATAGGACAAGCTACGTAATTTGTGGGGCCCAGTACAGAATAAAAATACAGAGCCCCTTGTCCAAAAATTTAGAACTTCAAGATGTTACAGCAGAGCATTAAAACAAGCTCTCACACAGTATTGTGTGGCTATTCAGGGCACATGCTCACGAAGTCAACCCTATCTCTCCCTTAATGCTAACCCAAACATCTCAGTAACAACCCATTATGGAGCCAGACTCATCCTAGCACTTAGGCATTTAAGCACTTAAAAATCAATACGGAGAACTGCTCAATTTAATACCTAGTGCTTTACTATCTTATTTTTAATAAAAAGAGGAGTAGAGCATATGGCGGCTCACAGTATAAAAAGACTATCAACTCAGAATGCCTAGGTTCGAATCCCACCTCTACCCCTACCAGCTATGAGGTCTCGGCAGGTGACCTCACCTCTCTAGATTCACTTTCCCCATCTATAAAAAGGGCATATTACTCACCTCATAGGTTATTAATAGATAAATTAAAATGTGTAAAGTACTTAGAACAGTGCACAATCGGCCAGGCATGGTGGCTCATGCCTGTAATCCCAACACCGTGGGAGGCCAAGGCAGGTGGATCACCTGAGGTCAAAAGTTTAAGACCATCCTGGCCAATACAGTGAAACCCCATCTCTACTAAAAATACAAAAATTAGCCAGGCGTGGTGATGAGCACCTGTAATCCCAGCTACTCAGGAGGCTGAGGCAAGAGAATTGCTTGAACCTCCTCCAGGAGGTGGAGGTTGCAGTAAGCTGAGATCATGCCATTGCACTCCAGCCTGGGGGATAAAGGGAAAAAACCCCCTCCTAAAAAAAAAAAAAAAAAAAAGAACAGTGCATAGCCCATATTGCTACAAAAGACATGCTAGCTATTACCTTTATCTGGAAACAATCTTCACAGGCAATCAATCTAAAAGGCAAGCTTTAGCTTCTAGAAGTTATTTCTGGCCGGGCGCGGTGGCTCACGCCTGTAATCCCAGCACTTTGGGAGGCCGAGGCGGGTGGATCACGAGGTCAAAAGATCCAGACCATCCTGGTCAACACGGTGAAACCCCGTCTCTACTAAAACTACAAAAAATCAGCTGGACACGGTGGCGCGTGCCTGTAATCCCAGCTACTCAGGAGGCTGAGGCAGGAGAATTGCCTGAACCCAGGAGGCGGAGGTTGCGGTGAGCCAAGATCGTGCCATTGCACTCCAGCCTGGGTAACAAGAGCGAAACTCCGTCTCAAAAAAAAAAAAAAACAAAAAACAAACAAACAAAAAATAAATAAGTTATTTCTTTGATAACTCAATTCCACATGTATTTACTAAACACCTGCTCAGCAACTTCCCTATAGCAATGTCTCCTCTTCCTTTAGTAGTAGTCTCTTTACTGGCTACTTTTGCTTCCTTGACAGAAAAAAATAAAAATAAATAAAAGTCACTTGACAATAGCCTTTTCAGTACTGTTATCCGGCTAAGGTGGATACCTAGTTTTTGAGAAATATTTTCAAGAAACTTAGAAAAAGCAAAAGATTTTGGCTAATAGTGAAAAGTAATATAAATGACACATTTGAATTTTATGCTTATATTTAAATGCTATTCTTCCTATGACTTTTTTTATCTTTTAAAAATAGGTATTTGGCCAGGCACAGTGGCTCATGCCTGTAATCCCAGTACTCTGGGGGACCAAGGCAGGGAGATCACTTGAGGCCAGGAGTTTTGAGTTCAAGATCAGCTGGGCCAAAACGGTGAAACCCTGTTTCTACTAAAAATACAAAAATTAGCCAGGTGTGGTAGTACATGCCTGTAATCCCAGCTACCTGGCTGAGGCACGAGAATTGCTTGAAGCCACGAGGCAGAGGTTGCAGTGAAGTGAGAGAGCGCCACTGCACTCCAGCCTGGGCAACAGTGAGACTCCGTCTCAAAAATAAACAAATAAATAATAGTTATTTAATAATGGGTAACCAAGTGAGGGCAGTTCAACGTAGACACGAAGTAATATGGATTCTAAATTTCTTGTCTACCATCTCATATATACCATATTCTCTTTTATGGCAGTGAACAAAAACCTTTTATCAAATATCTTCTATTCAACTACTAGAATAAAAAATTAAAATAGTCCTAGCAATAAAACTTCAAGGAAATTACATTTTAAATTTGTAAATTATTCGAAAGCCTTTATATACATTCAATTTGTGAAATTTTAATTGTTTCCCTATTTAAAGCAGGGTCAGTCACTAGACGAAAAAGAATACAGTACCCTTTTTTTTTTTGTCACTAACACATGGTTAGAATACAGTACACTTTCAAGCTTATATGCCTGTATCATGGAACTACACATTGACAGAGTTCTGAGTTTCATACGGTAACTTTTCCTAAGTGTTTTTTTAAATTGGAAATATATTAGTAATAATACCATTAACCAAAAGGATGGATGCCCATTGGAAATTTAAAAATAATCAAAAGACCCAAATCTATACATGGTCCCTGTATACTATGTGAAACAGACAGAGTTCTTAAATTTTGAGATAGAAGAAAATTTCTATCCTACAGAAGGAACAAAAAGAAATAGTTTCTGAGCTGTTTAACCTCCCAACAAAATTATCCTGAGTGAAAAATCACAAGTACAGCACAAAAACATGTCACCAATTCAAGATTTGTGTCTCTAAACAAATACATATGTACACAGGTAAGAAGTTTCTGGCTGTGACTGAAGGTAGAACAGCCAAAAGTTGAGAGCTTGTATTAGCTAAAATAAGAGCCCAGCTAGCCAAGGGATCAGCATAAAGTTTTGTTGATTACAAATGAAATCCGGTCCATTAAATAGATAAGGACGATTGCTTCGTTTTCTCACTTACCAGCAATAATATAAGACTCCCTCAGATATTTCTTTGTACAAACACAACCTCTTACGGAACTCGTATCATTAATGGTAAAGATATTTTAAAAATTACTCATCAAGCAAATTCTCAATTTACCTGACTTTCCAGCCTTGCTCAAGTCAACCGTTCTGAAAACCAGAGTTATAGCCCTAAGTGAAAGCCACCTGAAGAGTCGTTAACATGCATGCTTTGATGTGAGAATGCCAATTAAATAAAGTGCCAATTAACTTTAGGCCAAAGGGACTGTTGCTGGCCCTGACCTGAAGACTGGGAAATGTAAGACCCTTTACTGTCAGAGCTGCCCTAGTTAGACTGCCAGGATGCGGGTCTCACTTGGGTGCTGGAAGGTGAGGAGAAAGTTACAAGAAAGGCCTAGGAATTGCATGCGTGTGGGTTGGGTGCACTTACAAGTCAGTGTAAACTGCTCTTCGGCTCAAGTTTATTAATGCTGCCCCACCCAGAGTATTAATCCGGTTTGGGCAGAAACGGCGGAAAAAAGCCAGAGAGGACCTTAAAGTCCAGTATATTTCCTGGTTAGTGGCTGCCGGGTAATCGTCATGTATCCATCTTCCTCAGCGTCGTAGCCCTCAGTAGCCAAACGGCAGTCTCCCTCCCTCGGGGGGCAAAAGCCCCAAGCCCAGCCTGCCGGTGGCCATGCTCCCGCGGCGGGTGAACCCCGACCCTTCCAGGCTCCTTCCCGGCCTGGAGGTCCCAGGTCCCCCAGACCCCTCAGTGGGGTGCGGCGCCACTGAGGCCCAGACCGGGGGAAGGAGGCCCCCGCATTCGGGAGAGGAGCCTTGTCCCGGGAGCGCACGGAAATGCCTTCTCCACGCTCCCGGGGTTCCTGCTCCGCCAGGCCCAACCGGAAGGAGACCTCGGGCCGCCGCGGGGCTCCACTGGGCCGCCGGGCCCTCCAGGCTGCGCCAGGCCTGCCTCGGTGTACAACTAGGGAGCGAACCCGGGGGGACCGCGCCAGCCGGGGCGCCTCACCGTGTGTTCGTGCTCATCCGCCCGGGCCCGGGGCAGCAGCAGCAGCAACAGCGCGGCGGCCGCCGCCGCGCCAGGAGCGCCAGGCAGCGGCCTCATCCTCCGCGCCCCCACCGGCCCGGCGCCGGCCCACCGACTCCTCCTCCGCCGCCGCCTCCGCCGCGGCCGATTCGCATCCACGGGGCGCGGACAGACGCACGGGGCCCGAGCCCAGCCGCTGCCTCCTCCGCCACCACCGCCGTCGCCGTCACCGCCCGCTCCTGAGCCTCCCCCGCCCCCCGCGCCTCCTCAGCCTCTTCCTCTGACTCAGCCACGTCATCCGGCCACCCCGGCACACGCCGGAAGTGCCTCGCTACGCGGGGCCGCAACCGTCGCCGAGCTAAGGGAGGGCCACGCAACCGCCGCCCTCGCGCCGGCTGTCGCTTGGCTCCCGGGAGCCGCGGGGCGAACGGCCGGGCGAGCCCTGGGGCGGGCGCGGAACAGGCTGGGCCTACACGCATTGGACTGGCCTGCACCACAGGGACGAACGGCCGCGTCCCGGTGCTTCAGGTTGTGTAACCTTGGCCAAAACGCTTAGCTTTCCCTGGCTGCCATGAGGCCGATCGTCTGAACTGCCGCCTCTGGAACTTGAAGGATCAGATCAAATAACCCTTTTTAGGCGTTCGTCTGCCGCTGTGAATGAATCACGGGCTCCTGTAATCATCTAATCATCGTTACGAGAGATTGTTAAACTCGCAGGGTTAGATAAGTGATTTAAAGTCACTGGATACTTAAGGGATCCGTACTATTCAATCAATAAATGCTAAGCTAGCTTGTCATTCTTGTTCATTTTGTGTGTTAACTACTTCTGGGTCTCCCCTTCCCAGTCATAAATACCTCTTGGAGTGTAAGCTCCTCGGAGCAGAAACCCTGTTTCCATATTTCCTGTGCCTAGAACAGTGCCAGATCCATAAGAGAGACTCAAAAAAAAAAATAAAAATCAAATACACAAATATGGCACCGCCACTTACACAATCCTCTAAGCCAAAAATCCGGAACTTGTCAGATTGTCTCTTCTTCTCGGCCATCAGCAATCAACAATTTCTAGCATTTGGTCTCTTAAAAGTGGTTCAAGAGTTTATTTTTCCTCTCCTTCCTCTGCCAGTACCAACCAGTCTTCCATATCACTATGTATTGAGTCTCCCAAGAGGATCTCCGCCACTGATCTTCCTCCCCTGTTTATCATCCCCAACAGGTGCCAGAGTGATCTTTCTAAAAAGAAACCAGATTATATCGCTCACTCCCTTGCTTAAAACACTTGTGAATATTAGGTAAATAAATCATGGAGTCACCACGAAGTGGTGTCATCTGCCAGACGCTATCCTGAACGCTATTGGCTCATTAAATTCTCACAAAAAACGTATGCAGCAGGTACGGTGAAAATGTTCATGTTACAGATGAGGTGGCTGAAGCACAGAGAGCTTGAGTGTCTTGCTGAAAGACCAGACCCACTCAGTCTGGCTCCATAATTGGTCTTTTTGCTGCTAACGATCTACCAACTACACAGCCACTTTTAAAAAATGAAATAGGTAAGTACTGGCATGGAATGATAACCAAGAGGTACTGTTAAATTTTTAAGTTGAAGAAAGTAGAATTTAATTTCATTTTAAATGGCAATATGTTAGTCTGCCCATAGAAAACAATCTGAAAGATTATGACAAACCATTAATTCAGTGGTTAACTTTCTACTTTGTACATGCCTATAAATGTTTGGTTGTTTTTATAGTGAGCATGTGATAACTATGTAATCAGAGAAAAACAGTTCCCTGCTAAAAGATAAAGTCCAAATTTTTGCCTGTTAACAGGCACCTGCACCATCAGACCCTAATTTATCTTCCTAACTTTACTTTCCACCAATCTCTCTGCTCTGCCTTCACCCATATATATTTTTACACCTCTGTGCCTTTGCTCTTTATACTCCCTTTATCTGGAATGTCCTGCTTCACCTTGTGCATTAGATATTATCCTTTCAGACCTAGCTGATGATCACTTCCTCAGTAAAACCTTGCATGATCTTTGGGAAATGGAGCATTCTTTCTTTGGGACTTCAAGCATTTGGCATGTTGTGTTGTAATTATTCACATTTCCTTTTCTGTACTGCATTCCGACCTTTTTGATTGCAGGGACTATCATTTGTTTGTCTTTTTATCTGACCCAGCTGCTGACATAGTGCTTGTCACATCATAGGTATTCAACTCTTTGCTGAATGAATGAAGACATTAACAAGTCAAAAGCCAAATAGCATAGCAGGATTTGAAGAATGCTTTCTAGATAGTGTAAGAAACATCACAAAGCAGTATATGATTAATTGCTGAATGAATCATACACCAGTAATTGCTGTAGAAATCAGAGGAGGCATCTTATACATTTTTGTATATCCTCCCGAGCACCAAGCAGGGTGACTTGCTCATAGTGGAAGCTCAGTCAATTCTGTGAATGAATAATCACTGCTCTTGAATGAAGTGATGATGGGCAATAGAAGAACAAGCAGTGTTTAAGATGGATGTGTAGTTTCTTAAGCATCTATTGCCAGCGTCCACAGATTTGAGGTAGTATGCATGTGGGGGGTGTTTTGGGGAGGACTAGGTTGATAAATGCCTGGAGCTAGGGAGGACACAAGAAGAAGTGTGAAGTATTCATTTGGGGAGGATAGACTTAAAACCAGGAAACTTTACACACACAACAGAAAACAGGCATGACTGTGTACAAAAAGAAACACAAAAGGTGGCCAACAAATGGTCAGCAGGTA